TGACAGTAAAACAGAGCTTTCTTGATATGGTGCTAATTGGCCCCATGGGCACCCTTTTACCCAAATGACTTCATCAACTCAAGCAACATATGGTCACTTATCAAAATTCTGAAGGTTGATTAAATGGTTTACTAATATTTTACTTCTCTTGCTATTTCTATTTCAATTCTTCTAGTAAAGGAGGAATATTAACTTTATTAATTAGTTTCCACTCTAAATGTCAAATGGGGAAAAAAAAGATGAAATCAATTGCTGTAGTAAATTTTTTTGTTATTAGAATCAGCTAAATTTTAAATTATACAGCTTTTAAATTATAAAGGTTGAGAATTCATACCTGGATATATGAAAAAGTAATTTTTGATAAAATACAGAAAAATTATTTCTTTCACCACTTCTCTATGTGACAGGTGTCTATTCTACTCAATCAAAATGTAATTTCCCCATAATTATGCACAGAGCGAGAACTTAGGAAATATTTAATATGCATAGGCTTATCATGATGACTGACAACTGCTATCCACATCTAATTCTCCTACAGAATGCAAATTCAAGACCGAACTCGGTAAAGGGCTCTGACTCACTTAAGAAATAACAATTTACTCTGCATTAATGAAAGAGCCTATCATATACCATAGGAAAATTATTTCATTTAGTCTCAAATTAGAAATGTTTCAGAAGGAAAATGGCCTACTGAGTCGAGTGTTAAAATATTCATGAAAAGAATATCTTCAAAGAGATTGATAATTATAAATGCTGTGGCTCAATGTAGGAATATACAGTACTCCACGGAAAAAAAATGTTCTGAAGTTGAGGAAGTGCAAGATTTTCATTGCTAAACAATGATGTCAGGAAATTCAAATGAAATAGTAGATACAAAGCCAAGATCATTCTTCTTGCTAGTTAGTAATTACTATTTCTCCTTCCTTCTTCACGTTTTCCCAATTTCAGAAAGGAACTACCTTCACAGTCATTCTGGCAGTCATCTTAGACTTTCCTTTAGGCCCCAATTAATTCAACTACTAAGTACCAAAGTCTGTTAATAGTCGTATTTGTCTAACTTTGGTGGAGGTGTAGAGGGTAGAGTTAAAGTGGGGAGAGTGATGAGAGACTTGGGTGAGAAAGGAATGGAGTAAGGAGGCCATGAAATTATTCAGGGAAAAACAATGGACCCGAATTAGAGAAAGGAGAAAAGGGACAGAAAGGAGTGGTTTTACAAAATATGCAGTATTCTCTGCCAAAAACTTTAGTTATGCCCACTGCTTATAGGATGGCATTCAGGAATGGTCCTTCATGACTGGTCTTCACCCACACCCTAGCTGCCATCACTGGATGGTATCCCCCTAGGCTCTATCGACATCACTCTTAGAACCCTGACTATGGACCAGAATCTATAATGGCCGGGTTTTGTGTGTGTGTGTGTGTGTGTGTGTGTGTGTGTGTGTGTGTGTGTGTTTTCAAATTATAAATCCCAGGAGGATGAGAATCATGTCTAAATGTCATTGTCATCTTTTTTTCCCCATTTGGCAATGCTTATACAAGTATTGAAACACAGTGAGAAGTCAAGGAATTGAATGGAAAGGAGCTACATGATAAGCAGAATACACATTGTCTATGTAATTCAATAAAAATGTATTTGGGTTACTAGAAATAAAGTGTATCATAAAAAACCTAGGAGGCTGCTTGAATTATGAGATCAACCTAAAATCTTAATCTGCCATGTTGAAGGCTGAATTTCTTACTCCAGGTGGTAATTTGTTGAGGAAAATAAATGTTTACTTTTTTTATATCCTGCATCATTTTTAAAAAGAGCTGAGATAGTAGGAGAATAAATAAAGCTGATTTAAGCTCAAATTTTTAAAATGATCCTTCGGAAACAACTATGTAAATATGTCTGCTTCTTGCCTATAAAACATTCCATAATAACAATTCATGTTTTGGGGTCTCTTCCTCCTCTACCCATGAACTAGTTTTTAAAATTTATATAGAAGATCTTTGGCAGAGCAGTAAAAGAACTCTTAAAAAAATCCTGTGTTTATAAAAATAATCACTTTAATTAAGTAAAGATACTCCTTCCCAGACTATACTAGCAAAATTCTTTAAAAATAGTTTAAAATACAACCATAGTTTTACAATGCTTTAAGAGTTTAAGTTGAAATGGCAAAGTAAATCAATTTGACTTAGACGATAGAAAAGGAAGGATCCCAGGAATGTATAGCTAGAAACTATTTCATTCATGCTTGTTTACCACTTAGTGTATAGAAACCAGAATATCCCTGCTTAGTCACTTATGAAGCATTAAAATTCCAGCTCAAGGATTACAAACAAAAAAACATATGGCAGTACCAAAATACTGAACTTGAACATTTTCATATCTAGCTGAGTAGTCCTTGCTACTATGTTGCAGACCAGAAGTATCAACATTACCTGGGAGCTTGTGGAAAATGCAGGCCTTCAGGCTCCACTCTAAACCTACTGAATCAGAATTCATTCTAACAAGTTCCCTTGAGGATATAAAGGCACATTAGAGTTTGGCAGGCACTATTTTAAAAGACCTTTGAAATTTTCCCATTTAAAATCCCAGTCAAAAAATAAGGAACCCTTAATGGGAGCCTACCCCTAGGTATAAAAGGAAGGATTGATTTTAGAGCTCTCTAATGGGTGCATTTGGAACCAAATAATCAAACACCTAATTGGTCCTTGTCTTAGAGAACATCTGATCCACAGGCTAGCTTTAACACCAGCTCAGGATGTTGAACAGGTCTTTGTTTCCTCAGCACTGACCACCACTGCTAGTTCAGTGGTGGTACAAGTGAATGTGGGGGGACAGAACTCACTCAAGAAACTTGGGTAGACAAAGACATACTAGGGCATGTGAACAGCGGAATTCATAATGCGAAAGTCTAACAGTGCTCTATGTTTCACTGTTCACTTTTTTTTGTACCAGTAATTGAACTTAGGGACACTTAACCATTAAGCCACATCCCCAACTCCTTTTTAATATTTTATTTAGAAACAGGTCTTGCTAAGTTGCTGAGGCTGACTCTGAACTTGTGATCCTCCTGCCTTAGCCTCTCGAGCCACTGAGATTACAGACATGAACCACCATGCCTACCTTCACTGTAACTTTTAACAAGATTTGAGTTAAACAATATTTAAATGTCATCATTTTATTACAAATAATAAATCTATCAAAAATATTATTCATTAAATATGCACACCAAGATAAATATGAAAGAACAACTCAAAACATTCTTATGTTAGTTCCAAGTTTTTTTAGAGACTGAGCGTTCAGAAAGCTCTGAGTAGCATATGTCTACCTAAAGAGACAGACAGGGATGGAAAAGACATAGCTCGCACCTCAAGAAATGGACAGAAGTACTGATAGATCTTTTGCATGGTCAGGTCAGGCCTTTCCGAGAAAATAATCTGGACTCAGAGAAGAACATACAAACTTGTAACACAAAGCCTTACAAATGAGATTTTCAAAGTCACAAAATGTAATTCATGTTCTTGAATAAAAGGTATTAGAAACCAATGGAGACTTTTTTCTAAATTTCAGGGTATAAATATGACCTAGTGTAGGAGGCCATGTATAAATTATGGGTTTGTATGAGCTATCACAAGGCAGGGAGGTTGCTTTTCTGGGAACTCCTGGGTGAAATTCCCCAGTTCAAGAAAGCCCAGATTATGCTAATACCCTGCCTTAGCTCACACCTTTGGTTCAAACGCAGCCATCCAGAGGTAGAGGAGGCGGCCCAACCTGCTAAGCTCCCGCCAGTTGTTTCTGCCATATTCTTCTTATTTCCTCAGGAAGTTCTTTACACTGAATCCCACTGGTGTTCCCACTCATAAATAAAGCCCACAAACTCCCTTTGGGGAGAAATTAGACCCAGTCTCCATTAGAGCTGATCCTCATGGGATCCAGCTGTTTGGCTTATTTTTGTGTCTTATTTCTTAAATTTCTCATACATTTAATATTTCTAATCTGACTTCACCACCCTAGATTGGGGAAACTGAGTAAATGTCACACGGGTTGTGACTACCTAATATAGAAGAATTGGTACGATGCAGTACCTTAATCTTTTAAAAAATGTCCTTTTTAAGAAGACATCTCAAAAAAGAGTAATTCTTGATTTAATGCTTTCTCCTCTAGGGCATCAATCTGAAACCTAGAAGATGCAAAGTTTGACCAAAGAAAACAAAACACAAAATGTAGAGGTAATTACAAAAGGTGACTCAGTTTTCACTATGGAACACGGTAAGAATTCTTTCCTAAATGATGAGGTAGGGAATATATGCATAATCTCTGACGAAGAAAGCATAACATCCAGGTTGAGAGTGTAAGGCAAAACGTAAATAGTACACAATCACTCATACTGAGTGGGTAGAAATACCCAATCAAAGACTAGACATTTCAAAATCCCTACAGAGAACAAAAAGACCCTCTACTTTACAGCCAAGGAAAATGTTAATTTAAAAATGTAATACAGAATTTTTCATTTGAAAATTTTAATAAAATTCCATACTATATTTTAAAAGTAACATTTTTATAAAATATTCAAGTATAATTACTATTATTAGCTGTTAGGAGAGGCCCTCCAACATAGGTCCTAAGTATCCCTGCACAACCCTGCTGGGTGCATTCAAAATGCAAGGACCTGTCCCGTCTTTACCTGGATCATTTCTCAAGGTTGTATTTGTAAAGAAGCAACCTGAAGGGATAAGAGAATGTCTCCCCCTAAATATCCCAGGCTATCTTACTCCTTCCTCTGACAGTGTATAACTCCCCAAATTTAGTATCCCTCTCCTACAGCACAACCCACTGCATGCACAGGTATACACACTGGGGCCTCTGTCACCTCTGCCATCATCCCAGGGTGATATGATGTTAGCTTGAAATGAGGGTAAAATTGAAGCCACTGAACAATTCTTGAACCTGGCACTGAAAAAAGAAAACAAACAAACAAAAAACTCATTCCTATTATTAAGATTAATCTTACCGGATCCAGGTTCTTAAAAAGCAGGATGTCTTTGCAAGCCTCTTGCAATCTATTTCTTTGATCATCAGTTTTGGGATGTATAATCTAAAAGGACACCAAATTAGAAAAACAAAGACAGTGGTGAGAACAAATTAAAATCTAACAGGAATGCCCAAAGGTGTTCACTTTAAATGACGAGTAACTATCAGCCCACTAAGTAAGGAAAAGCAATACATTTTGTCTCAGGGGGTGGTATACAGTCATCAATACAGCACTCCAGCATTTTTCAAAAGAGTGTTTCCCTAAAGTTAGCAAGTTGATTCTGTAAACGTTCATGACTGGCTATAAAGACTCCAAAGTTCCCAGCCAACAAGGGTAAGTACAAAAGGAAAACATGTTACAAAGAAAAATTAGAGACTGCCTTTACTCTGTCTCTGAGTTTAATACTCTTTTAAGATGAAGCACTTTCCTTTGAAACTTGATGAACATTGTTTCTAGAAGCAAATAAATTCTTAGCTATATATTATATTAGATGTGGGATTTTCATAAGGGAGAAAGCAATGATGCACTGCCAATTCAAGACAGCAGTGTGTGTTCCAGAGAAAGTGAATCCAAAGACTGCTGGCGTATTATAGACTCACTGAATTTTTATTCCAGGAGGACAAAGACAGCAGAATGTCCTCTGTAAGAGTGGCTCATCAACTTTCAAGTTCCTTCTGACCAGCAGAAGGCTCACTAAACCAAAACACCTATTCTTTTCTGTTTGTTTGTTTGCTTGCTTGCTTGCTTGCTAGGAACAGAACTCAAGGCCTTGCACATGCTATGCAAGTACTCTGCTATTTTAAGGGCCCTACAAATACCAACTCATTTCCTATTAGTAACAGACCCCATAAAGTTGGCACCAACTCAGAGGCAGGAAAATGACCTTGCCCAAATGACCTCTCCAGCATCTCCTGGTCCATTGCTGCAGAGCTAGGACTTGTTGCAGGCAGGCAATGATTTCTGAACCAGGGATCAGCAGGCAAGTTTGTTTTTCTATGCCTCTGAGTGAAGGATTGCTTTAATGACAGGGAAAAAAAATTAAAGAATATTTTCCAATACATATGGGGAAAAAATTAAAGAATATTTTCCAATACATAGAAAGTATATAAAATTCAAATTCAATTGTCTATAAATAAGGTTTTAATGGAACACAGACATCTTTCATTTATATGTTGTTTAGCTACAACAGTACAGTTGAGTAGCTGCAAGAGACCTTAGAACCCCCAAAATTCAAAACAAACAAAAAAAAAAGCCTCTATAGAAAAATTTTTCCAGCTCCTGCTCTAAGGCTCTGCTGCCCGTCAATTAGAATTACAACACAGTCAATAAATAAGGTTTACTCACATGTTTTTAAAGAGCACTAAGTATCTTGTTATGCAAGAGAAATCTGTAGAAGATATTTTCATTTTTGTCTAATCCATTCTCCACAAAGAGCTGAAAATCATCTTTTAAAACTGTCCGTCAGAACACTTCTTTCTCCAGCTTTAAACCTCAATGGACTCCATCCATCACATCTATTGAGAAGTAAACCCCCATTCTTTCCTTTTCCACCCTATCTCAGCCCCTCATCCAGCTACCCCTGCCTTCACTGGGAACCTCATACTCCTCCTAATAGTCAGCTCACGGCAAAATGCACCACTAGCTCTGGCCAGATCCTTCCCCATCCATCCTTCTCGTCTCAGCTCAAGAAGGCCTTCAACCACTCCAGAAAAACAGGGGCCCTGTTTGCATTAGCGGATTTTAATTCTTATACTGTTTTATTGCCCCGTTAGCACTTCACAGTTTGTAATTATTCATTAATTTACTTGTTTGTCTGCATTTGCCCCTAGACTCTAAATTCCAAGAGGGCGGGGCCTAATCATTTTGCTCACTGTTGTATACCTAGCACCTAGGCAGATATGCAAAATATACTCCAAAAGAAATCTGTGGAGTAACAGAACAAAGAAACCCTCCACTCTTAAATTTATCAGCTCTACTCTTCCAGCAGCCACATGTTAGATACATAAAATCCTTAAATTTTCAGGTATTAAAGGTATTCCAACTGAAATCTGTTACTTTCCAAAATGAGTTTTCAGTATCTAGATTTTCTTTGAATTCACATCAGAAGATAAATGCCTGTTTATACTAGAGATTTAATGATTTGGTGATGTACATAGTCTTAAATTTGGTATTACATAGAAAAATAATACAAAATGTCCAGATGAAACATTATTCTAAACAGTGTACATTCTTCTCACAAACATTTTCCAATATCTGCCTAGATCTAATTAATGTTGAAATGTGTAGTAATCATTCCTAAGGGCAGTTTGCCTTATAGTTGCTATGACAAAAGGTGAAGTTTTAGTAACATGTTTAGAGGAGAGAATATTAAGAATGACTGAGAACCTAAAGCACTTTATTAAAATCATTAACACATTATCAATACATTACCAAAAAATTTCAAATGTGGGGCTGGGGTTGTGGCTTAGTGGTGTAGTGCTTGCCTAGCATGTGTGAGGCATGGGTTTGATTCTCAGCACCACATATAAATAAATAAAATAAAGGTCCATGGACAACTGAAAAAAAAAAATTTTTAAAAAAAATTCTTAAAGGTATTATAGTGGACAAGTCTTGGAGTCAATGCCCAAACCCACAAAGAATCCCCTAGGAACTTCCCTAGGAATTGACTGCCCTTATTTATAGAAGTTGTTCCTGAGTAACCAACGTGATCTCCTAATCCTGTCCCCAATCTGGCCAACACTGGTTCTCCCAGAAACTTCTGGGAAATTAGAATTTTGAGCAGAGAGATACAGGAATAAAGAGAGACTGGAAGCTGGGTATTTTTCAATGACAACACTCAGTTCTGGTACCCTTGCTGCTGAAAACATCCCAAAGGTGGGTTACCTGCTAGTTACAGCTTGGCCTTTGAACTCTTTCTGAACTTGAGTAAGATCTCTACACACTGTCCAATAAGCTGTCCCCAGTATTTTCTTTTTTGTGTGTTCATCTCAGTGTGAATGGGCTCTTTTATGCAGCCAAGGGTGGGTGTGTATGTGAGTGTGTGAGTGAGTGTGTATGTGTGTGTGTGTGTGTGTGTGTGTATGTGTGTGTGTGTGTATGTGTGTGTATGTGTGTGTTATTGGGAACTGAACCCAGGAGCAAAGGCTCCTTTAGTGAGGTATCCATTCTCCGACTCCCTTTTTTATTTTTTATTTTGAGAAAGGGTCTCACTAAGTTAGTTGCCCAGGCTGGCCTTGAACTTGAGATCCTCCTGCCTCAGTTGCTGGGATTACAGGCAAGTGCCACTGCACCCAGCTAGCAGAGCAAATTTTAACACAGGGAGCCTCCCCATCAAAACTGTTAGCAATTGGTTAGAGTGAACTAGCCAATATTTATTTTTCTCATAGGTTCAATGGAAGCTAAAATTCCTCTCAAGATCTCACAATTTTTGAGTCAATGAGACAATGCACAGTTTTTAAATTGTACTGCTAAATTCTCTTTAATTTAGATTTTTATTAATTTAAACTGCCTCATCAAACTTACCTTTATTATTATATTTTATCATAATCATTTACTTACAAATATAAAGAATGTGAGCAGTTTTCAAATGCTGCCGGATAGGTATGTGATAGGCACAAGGTAGAGTTTTTTCCAGACTTCACGGAGTGATAAATAGCATGTCACAGATTAGCAAAAATATCTGGATTCTAAGGCAGCATAATTCCCAGGCTGGGATTTGAGGACTTCATCAGAATAACTGAAGTTCTGGTAGTGAGAAATAATACTTAGCGCTGGGAATCTTCACAGGATCAGGAGTGAAATGAGACTTCAAGATCTTCCGTGTTACAAGTCTCCTGATCTTTCTACCACTGGATTTCATGTGTATTTCAGGGAGCTTCATGATGTAATGACTAAGGACCTACCATCTGATTTTATTTATTAAAACTCAATCTAATTGAAGTAGTTTTCAGAGCTACAGAAATAGGTTCTTATTTATACCTTTTATGGTTAAAGAGAAAAGGGGGACGTTTACAAAGCATGTACTCAAAAAAAAAATATTACTTTTCATTTCCAGGCACAGTAATCTCTTATTTAGTTTACTTTCGACTGAATAAATAAAAGAAGAAGCAAGTTAAAGGACACAGCTTAAAAACTGCGTCAAACCACACTGGACAAGTTCTTACAAAAACATTAGGGCCTCCAAGAAATCATTTGCTGGGCAAATAATCAACACATAGATTTTTTTTTTTTTTTAATGGTAACTGCTGTACTGACACCTTCTATGTGATTTTACTGTAACTTGTTTCAGAGTAAGCTTCTATTGTTATCACTAATAGGAACAGCAGGTCTTCCCCAGCATTTTTCTTTACTAGAAGCACTTTCTAAGAAAAATAACATTATCACTATGAGAAAGACAGCTGAAAACATTTTTCATCACCAGGATGTATTTTGCAAAAGAAGTAAAACCAGAAATACAGTGAGCAATATGTTCATCTTTCCTTTTATCCAAAGAGACATATTTTTTGGATAAAAATAATTCCAAAGAATTTGAAACAGAAGTAGGCTATCAGAGGTAAGACTTGAAAATGTAATAATCAAAATAATTCCATTATGTCTCCTGTTAACCTGTATGCCCACTGGCATCTTTTCTATTACTCTTTATATGAATATCAATCGAAAATGAATTCATTCAGTAAATGACATACCCTGGACTCTGCATCATCTTCTTCTTCATCAGGATTATAGGCTTCTGCACATACTATAAATATAAAAACAGACTTTTTAAAGATTTGTTCATTAAAAAACATACTACAATAAATACATCTTTTAAAAACTAATATACAAAGAGTACCATGTTGTAAAAAAAAAATTAATTCCAGGGCAAGTAGTCTACCCTCTAAAACTGATTTTATAACATAATTTACAAGGAAATTCTTAGAATATAATGCTGTATTTTAAGACACTGACAAGTGCTTTTAGCTTTCCTTCATTCAAAGCCTAAATCCTTTTGTCTTCATTCCCAAGGCAAAGAAATGCTTAAAACCTAAAAAGTTACCTTAAAGGACACACTCAAAAAAAGTCCAAGTCTGCTGTGAAATTTTATCAATTTAATCATATTGCTGAACAACTTTCATAACTTATCCATATTCTAACCTTTCAAGAATAATATTACTAATATTTTGCATATTCCCTTCATCTTTATTGTTTATAGTACATATGCAATTTTAAAACCTGCTTTTTCATTTAACACCATAAGAATTTCACATGTCATCAGAAGCAGTAAATATTGTTTTTAAGGACTGAAGATTATTTATCAAATGCTATAATTAACTACTTCCCTAATGCGGAACATTTAGCTGGCTTTTATTAAAACAACTTTGCAATAAACATCTTCATACATAAATATTTGTCTACATTTCAGATTATACTGTAGACGTTACCCCCAAGTGCTATTTTGGGGGGCTAAAAGGCATGACAAATATTAAGGCATATTTATCATCATATTTTTTCCAGGGGGGTTGGACCCACCCATTATCCTACAAAGAATGTGTAAAAAGGCTCCTTGAACTCTACCACAAAATTAGATGTTACTGTTTATAATCTTCACCAATTAAAAAAAAAGAATTTAAGTTTTTTAAAATTATTAAATCTGACTCGCGTGGCATGTGCGGGGCACTGGGTTCGATCCTCAGCACCACATAAAATAAAAATAAAGATGTTGTGCCCACCAAACCCTGAAAAATAAATATTAAAAAATTCTCTCTCTCTCTCTCTCTCTCTCTCTCTCTCTCTCTTAAAAAAAATGGCCCCTCTTTAAAAAAATTTAAATCTGAACAATTTTCTAGTGTTTATAGGCTGACCATATTTCCTCCTTTATCTATGGGGGAATATTTGGTTTCCTTTTCAAATTAACCAGTTTCTTAATCCAATGTTAACTGTTATATGAATTGTTTTATCCAATTTGCTTTTTAATGAGTTTTACAATGTTTTTATAGATCATGCATGTATATTTTTAACATAGTGACATCTATTGAGGAATAAAATGCACCAGTATGACTTAAACCCAACATTAAATATTATGGGAGTACCTCCTTCTTTTGAGATTGGACACCATTTTCTTATTTGCAAACCTGAAGATCTACTACTTGCTTTTTCTTTAGGTTTTTGTTTGAAACTACGTCTTTTTACATTTATTCTTTAGTCCATAGGGTATTTATTCTATCATGAATATAGAAACTGAGGAACAAAGGATAGGTGAAAGGCTGACAAATATCTTCCCAGGGACCTCAGTATGATATCAGGAGTGTTATCATCAGTCGGTAGCATCATCACCATTACTACTATAAAATCTGTCTTTGGCTCTCTTTTCTCTATGTACCTGGCTACGAACAGTGGTTCTCAGCCAAGTTCAATTTTTCCCTCCACAGAGGACATCTAATAATAATGTCTGGAAACATTTTGATTGTTACACCTGTGGAGGGGTGAGTCTTCTGGCATTTAAGTCAGGGATGCTACTAAATATCTTACCATGCACACACTGTACAGTCCATACACCTCCACCCTCCAAGAAGCATTATCTAACCCCAAATGTCAATAGCACTGAGGCAGAAACCCTGACCTAATGTATATTATCTTACTCAATCTCACAACCCTATAGTTGATGATAATGTCATCATTTGACAGAAGACCGACTAGAGCATACAGAGGCCAAGGTCACACAACTTTATAAGTAACAATACCCGGGGCTGGGGATATGGCTTAAGTGGTAGCACGCTTGCCTGGCATGCGTGAGACACTGGGTTCCATCCTCAGCACCATATAAATATAAAAAAAAATAAAGATAAGTAACAAGACCCATTTCTGATCCAAGATTGCCTGACTCAAGACTCCAAAACCCTTGCTCTCAACCCCTGTTGTACACTTGAATGCTCTGGTGAATTGACCAGAACAATGCCTGGACTTCAGCCTGATATCTCAGAAATCCAGCAGAAGCAGACCTGACTCTCAAGAGCAGGCTCACATGAAAGACCCTCACTGATGCATGTAACCAGAATGTCAATTTAATAACTAACTTCCAGGATGAAGTATGGAGTCAGCATGACCAGCCAATTCTCTCCCTGCAGGAAAATCAAAGCAGCAGCCAAGACACAATTAAAAGATTGCTTGATGAGAAGGAAATGGGGAGTTAGAGGGTTTGTCAAATAAATTGAATGACTAATGGTATAAGGCTGAACAGCCTGAGGCATCACACACACAATACAGATGGTCCTGCTACTGTGGCCAGGAACTGTAACTGGGCTAGCCACAACTCTCCAGAGGGCAGGAGGAAATCTACTTCTAAAGTGTGGCTCTGTAACTTTCTGTCCCCATGCATGACCAACCTCACAGGAAGCACTGCTACAGAATTTGTAGGGCCCAGTGCAAAAAGAAAATATGGGCCCATGTTCAAAAACTTACGACTTTCCAAAGGACAATAACAGCAGAGAATTAAGCCAAATGCAGAGCCCTGATGAGTATGAGGCCCATGAAGGTGGCCCAGTTCACATGACCAACACATTCAACAAGGTGACATTTTATATATATTTTCTGACCCAGTATTGATCTGAAATTTTAATTCACAGAAAGATCCTAATTCTCTAATTTCTAAACTTCTAGCCACTAAGTTCTGACTAAAAATTATATACAGTAGGAATCTATTATTTTCCAAATAGCTTACTAGCTGTCCCCACTGTTGTGTGTTACATAATACCCTCTAATTTGTGATACCTACTTTTTCACAGAGTATGTATGTTTGTGTCTGGATTGTTTTATTAAACCATTTATTGTTCCAGTATTGTAAGGACTTAATTCTAGGCCTTTATGTGTTGCAATTATTTTCCTAGATTGGAATTCACCTCCTATAGCCAGATCAACATAAAGAACTTAGAGTTGTACTAAGTTGCCAGAGAGCCTTATAACTCCTTATAGTCAAACTGTTTTCCTCTAATTGGAACCATTTCCCTACATTCTCCTTTCCAAACCATCTCTCATCTCCAGTTCCAACTAAAAAGTCAGATCAAGAGTGTATCTTGGGCCGGGGATATAGCACAGTAGAACACTTGCCTAGCATACATGAAGTCCTAGGGCTCAATCCCTAGCATTGAGGGAAATGAAAGAGTCACATCTTGACCTCTCACTTACACAAAGCTAATTTATGAAACTCCACTTCTGTGCTCCTCCTTTGCATTCACCCAACACAGTGAGTAGAGCTCATTATTATCACTTACCATATTGTACTCTTCCAACATGTTACAATCTGTTTGCCTCTCCAGGCTGGGACTTGCAGCCCTTCAGGGACTTACAGTATGCCCTTGTTTATCTCTTATTCCCCTAGCACTGACATGGCACATTGCCTGGCTCAATGTACATTTGAATGAATGGCTGACCAATGAACAAACAAGAAAATTCTTGAGGACAGAGATGATATCTCTTTTTAATGTCTTACAATAATGTATCTGTATACAGACTCTCAGACACATGGAATGAAAGCATGCATGCATGCATGAATGAATGAATGAGTGACAAGTTGCTCTTAGTTAAAATACCCTACACTTTTTGTTCATGAAATGGGGACTGAGAGGATGAGTGAAACTGAGGGTCTTCTGTGTTTTCAAAAAGGGCCCAGCACAGAGGTTAGGAGTTCTGTAAATATCTGTGCAACAGATAAAATGATTGACAGGATCTATGACTGGATATCTGGTCAAACTAAAGTGTTCAGATAACTTGTTCTGCCCTGTATTCTTTCTGAAATGTTTTTGCTCTGTATCTTCTAGGCAATCTGAAATTTAGTTTGAAACTATATATTTCATTCTTTAGCAATTAAATAGTAGTAAGAGACAGAGCCCTATTCTTTAAGTAAACTCTATATCAAAGTTTTACTGTTATATCGTGCATATGTGTATTCAGATACTGGTTTTTTAGAATAGTTCAAAAATTTAAGCAGATTCCCACATTGCAGACAGAGTAATATGTACTGGTATAGCCAACTGTCACAGATTGCAGAACAGACAGGAAAGTAAGAACTATATTGACTTTGCATCTTGTGGGACTTGGCCCTCAATCTTTTCATGCACTATATATAAATAGTGTGGTAGACAAAGGGTTATGCCAACTCCCAGAGTTTTCCACTAAGAACATGCTTCATTTTGTTGCTAATGGTTGAAAAGCAGTGCAGTCAAAGTAACTTTGCACTCCTCAAGTATATATAATCCTAGTGGCAATCTATCTAGCAAAGAAAAAAGGAACCAGACTAAACTCTACAAGCCACTGGGTCTTCAACTCTGACACATTCTTTACACACAGCATACCCTCCATAAATATTTATTAAAAGAATAAAAGACAAATTTATAAAGACTTTACACAAAGTTCAGAGGTCTTCTATCTAGCCCCAAACTGACTTCTATAACAATATATAAAAGTGACTTCTCCAGTGCTTTCAATACACTAGGACTTTAGCATACTTATTTAAATAATAATCAGCTTAAAATAAAGTGATTATAAAAGCACAGGTGTGTGAACAACAGACTCAATATAGTTAAACTTAACTTACTGAAGTGGAAATACCCTCCTACAAAGGAAAAAATTACCTTTTATAAACAAGAGTTTAAGGCATACATCTCAATGAAGAAAATGGTTCTTAGGGGGCAAAAAAAAATGTTACTCACTTTTTTTTGGTATAAAGTACAAATACACATTAAATACACAGATATGCAGTCTATC